TCTTCTTCTCTCCTCCTCCTCCTCCTCCTCCTCCTTCCTCCTCCTCCTCTTCCTCCTCCTTCGTCATCTTTTTTTTTTTGTTTTTTTTTTCCGTCAACGCAGCTCGAAATCGGCAGGTTGGCCTCCTCCTCCTCCTCCTCCTCCTTCTCATCTCTCTCCTCCTCCCCCTCCCTTCTTCTTCTCTCCTCCTCCTCCTCCTTTCTCCTCCTCTCTATTTCATTGGTTTTCTTCAGCAGGCTAAGTGCCACGTGGCAGAAGCAGTGCCACCTTCTCGCCGTCTTCTTTCTCCTCCTCCTCCCTCTCCCTTCCTCTTTTTCTCGCCACCTTCTCCTCCTCCTCTCGTCATCATCTCCCCTCCCGTCGTCTTCTTCTCTCCTCCTCCTCCCCCTCCCTTCCTCTTTTTCTCGCCACCTTCTCCTCCTCCTTTCTCCTCCTCCTCCCTAAGTCTTCTTCTTCTTCTTCTTCTTCTTCTTCTTCTTCTTCTTCTTCTTCTTCTTCTTCTTCTTCTACTCTTCTTCTTCTTCTTCTTCTTCTTCCGATATTTGAACTCGTTTTTTCCTTCGCTGGTTGTCCTTGCATCCTCTACTTCCACGACACTATGGTGGGCGGTGCCAGCGACATTGGAGGGGGGAGTGGCGATTCTGGACGGAGGAGGCGCAAAACGGTAGCAGAAAAAGGAAAAGAAAACGTTGCAAGCACCTCCGCTACACCCACATCCACAGTGACCTCGGACCCTTCGCTGTTCGTTCCACAAGACAAGGCGAGGCAGGACAAGTTGCAGAGGGAGAAGCCTGTGTGGAAGTACGCAGAACAGGGTCAGGAAGCCGGGGCGAAAGGGAAAGGCGAGTATTGGGTGAGGTGTCGGTTGTGCATGCAGATTTGGAGGGGCACGAGCTCAAGAGCGGTGGAACATCACCTGAAGACGCAGAAACCTTGTCCATTGTGCACAGGGGAAATGGTGAATGAGCTCGTCAACGCCGGGGGGAAAGTGTTGCCGGGTGATAAGAATACGCGGTACTTGCTGAAGAATTACAGGCAGCTGCACGGGATTCCGGAAGGGGGGGTCGATCAGACGGAGAAGGCCGACGAGGTGGTTGAAATTCCCGCATACCTTGAGCCACAGCCACCGCCCACTGCGGGCAGGGCTGCTCCTCCATGTGATGCAGGGGATTTGCACAAGGAGAATGCTTTGGATGCGGCGGGGGGTGAGGTGTCGGGGTCGAACACACGACTGTCCTCATTGCAGCAGTCAACAATAAGGAGGTGGGTGGACAACAATGCGCAGAAGAAACTGGACATCGCATGGGCGGAGGCCATGTTTCGTGCTGGGATCCCGTTCAACTTCCTAAACTTCGAAACCACCCAGAAACTCCACGAAGTGTACCTACAGGTGGCAAAGTCAAGACCGCAAGTGAAACTGCCCTCCTTCAACCACATGAGGACCGTCATGTTGGACATTGTGTACATGCGAGTGCAGAAGACGGTGGAGCCATTGACGACTTGTTGGGATGTGAGCGGGTGTACGTTCATCACAGACGGATCGAGTGATCGTCGGGAGCGGCCCGTGATGAACTTCTTGGCAGCTGGGGTGGATGGGGCGGTTTTGGTGGTGACGGTGTCAATGTCCGAGAGGGAGAAGACCGGACCTGCATCGGCGAAACTTTGGGAGAAGATCATGAGGGAAATCGGACTGCGTCGAATCAATGCGATCTGCACTGACAACGCGGAGGTCAACAAAAGGGCGGCTCAGATCTTGGAGCGACGAACGGACAAGGAGGTAGCAAGGATTCCGTGGGTTCCTTGCACTGCGCATTGCTGCAGCCTTCTCTTGCGCGACCTCAGCAAACTCGATTGGGTGAAGCACACCGTTAAAAGGGGCCACACAATCGTCAAGTTCATTAGAAATCACCACAGCACAAACAGTCTGATGATGACAGTGGACGATTCACTGTCTCTTTTGCGGCCCACGGAGGTGCGCTTCGGGTTAATCTACCAAATGTTGGAGAGGATATACGACAGGAGGGCGGTATTGAAGGACATGGTCAACGGTCGTAATGCAGCAAAGTGGAATGCGATCCGATGGTCCACGTCGAAGTTGAGGGCCAGATCGGATCTGGTGTACTTCACACTGAGGAGTGATGAGTGGTGGACGGGGTTGAACAAGGTGGTTGAGGTGATGGAGCCCGTGTTCGGCCTCTTGAGGCGGATGGATCAGGACGGTACCGCTCCCACAAACCTTGTCGAGTATGACAACATGATACAGAGGAAACTTAACCATGTCGTTCTCATGGTGGAGCAGCGGGCGAGCGTGATGGAGAAAGTCAAAGATCGCATGAAGATGATGCGGCAGCCCGTCCACGCAGCGGCCTTTCTTTTGGACCCGCGCAAGAGAGATCCGAGGTGGTTGCATGACCAAGACAGTGCGCTTGTGCAGAATGCCATGCGCTTTCTCTCGAGGCAGGTTGGAGGTGAATGGAAAGGGCAAGAGCACCTTGACATTTGGAGTGGCCTGAATGAGTTCCACCAAACCTACAAGGAACGGCCCAAAAAGGAATGACACGAAGATGTGGGACCCCACAGCGAAGGCAGATGTTGACAAGAAGACACCGTTAGAATGGTGGGCAGCACACGGTGGCGACGTGCCCGAATTGTAGAAGATTGCGATCAAGGTTATGGGCATGTGGAGCACCGCATCGCCAGTGGAGAGGAACTGGGCTTCCATGGACTTCATCCATTCCAAACGGAGGAACAAGTTATCGCCAGAAAGCTTGGCGAAGCTAGTGTACATACACTGGAACATGCAGCTACTGCGTGTTCCGGAGACTAAGAACAACGGATTTGTGGACTTGTGGTGTGACTTCGTCGAGCCCGCCCCGGAGCCTGAAGAGAACGATGGATCGGTGTCGAAGGGGCCCGAGGATGAGGCTGAGAAGACAGAGGAGGAGATTGTAAGGGAACAGAGGCTCACAAAGACTCTGAAGGGAAGGGTTCCAAGAAATCTCGAGGACAAGGACGAAGAGCTCACAGATGACAGTGATTTGGATGACGAGCTGTGGAAGGGGAAATGCGGATTCTCGGAGGACTCAAGTGGCAGCGAAGAGGATGATGACGATGACTCCGATTTTGAGCTACGATCGGAGTCGTCCGTCCCAGGCACGATGTACGTCGGAAGGAGGCGTACCGGACGACAATGCAGAGAGCCACGCCGGGCAGCGATGGAGCCCGGGGTAAGGGAAACTTCACTGTACAATCCGCAATCTGATGTCGAGTTCGCACGCCTAGACACGGATGTTGAGACGTTGCTGGAAACGAGGGTGGACAAAGATGAGGAGGATGCAAACCGTGCCAAGGCTATGGCTGACCGGGAGACCGAACTCGTCAACAAACGTATGATGGAGGAGGAGGCCCGCCGTGCAGCTATCCCGACCAGGAGAGAGATCGAGAGAGGTCTCAAACAAGCCAGGGAGCACCAACAACAGATCGATCAGGCATTGGAGGTTGTTGAAGAAGGAGAAGAGGAGGAGGAGGAGCACCAGGCTGAGGTGGGAGATTACATGTCACAGGAAGAAGAGGCGGAGGGCATGGTGCAACCGCAGGAGGGAGAGGAGATGGAGCACCAAGAAGAAGAGGAAGGCACGGTGCAAGGCGGGGAGGAAGAGGAAATGCAGCAGGAAGAGGAGGGGGAAGGATTGGCGCAGCAGAAGATGCAGCACGGCGAGGTCGATACAGCCCGCAAAGACGAGCCCGTCCCACAGCGACAGCAGTCTACACACGCAGGCCCCGGCCAGCGGAGTTTCCGGAGTCCGAGGCGAAGATACCGGAATTCCCCGCAAGGAGGGAGGATGTCCAGCATGACAACCTGTGGGTGAGCCGAGCGGGCAGGAAGAGAAAGGAGCCATCACAGGACGCTCCTGCACAGCCAAAACATCCTCGTGGCAGACCGCGAAAGCAGAAGACCGACACCGCCAGTTCACCGGTTAAAAAAAAGAAACAGCGCCTCAAGTGCAAGACGGTCGTGGAGGATGACCCGGAATCGGCTGACTGCAGCGAACAGCCATCTGAGGATGAGGGCTGCGACGCTAATTCCGAATGAGATCAGCATGTCCACAAGTGTGTGTGACACTCTGTGTGTGTGTGTGTGTGTGTGTGTGTGTGTGTGTGTGTGTGTGTGTGAGAGAGAGAGAGAGAGAGAGAGAGAGAGAGAGAGAGAGAGA